CCCACACTACCACACTCACACCCACATTCCCACACCCACCCACACCCTTGTAAAGAAAAAAAAAAGAATATATATATATCGACTACCTAGATCAAGGGTCAAACTTAAGGACAAATAACAAAGAGTGATCAAGGTTATATAATATCGAGATAGATCTAACAACAAGAAAGAGAAAGAAAAGAGAAAAAAAAGAAATAATATAGAAAAATAACAACAAGGAGGTAAACCCGCTAACAGGTACTCATGTATGAGATATGCCAATGATAACAAGAAATAACAATGACGGTACATGTCGCAAGTAACACGTAATTTAATGTACTAATCAAGCCACTTAACAAAGAGGTCATCTTATTTTTCTTCAGACATATGACATGGTGGTGTCATCTTCCGATACTCTTTCTCTCCAGATAAGGCTTCCTGTCGACAGAACATCATAAGAAAATCATAGATGTCATAATACCATTACAATGGGTATCGATAGCCAACCATCAAAATATCCGCAGAGTAATCAAGTGTATTCACTTTCGCGACCTATAATTTACGAATAGGAGTAATGACTTCAATACCCCTTACATAAACTGTATATCGTAAAAATTGAGCGTTTTGAGTGGATTTGGTGTAACGGTGTCATTACCCTGGGGTAATGACACCAAAACCACTCAAAACGGTCAACTTTAAAAAGTATATAGTTTCCATTGCACAGAGTGATGTCATTACCCTTGGGGTAATCGCTGTTCCGCGGTGGATACTCGGTGTAACGAGATTATGACATCACTCAAGAAAATCAGTATTATACGAATTCAAAACCCTAGCTTGTTTCTCTTCACGTTCAAAATCATGAAAACATAGATGGACATACATGCAGTAAAAGCTGATCAGAATCTTTTAGACTTCCGACATAGGTCACGGGTGTACCCTGTTTTTTTTTGTCTCTCAGACTGTCAATCAAGAGAGCATAGACAATTACTAATTTCATTCGAATATGGTGCTCCAACAACCCTACTTTGATACTGAAAACTAACGCATTATAGCCAAACTCAGAAGAAACATCAAATTTGAGTATATTTTGCACTTCTCACCGCGCTATACCTCTTTTCTAGTCCTGCACGATTACAAATCGATAGAACTTGAAAAGCGAGATGTATACTTCGAGTTTGACGCCTAAGGAAAACTGTTCTCGTGCTAAATATTAAACATATATAGACAAATCTAGCGGAAAAAGGCGAATCTTACCACAATTTAGAGTTTTTGACCATGTTATAGACATTTTCAATTATTTTTGTGATTGCCAACCGTGAGAACTTGAAAAATTAGTCTAATGATCTAAATTTCATGTTATGATAACGGTATCTGCCCAAAAAGTTGTCAAAAGAAGATTCTATGTATTTGAAAAAGGTCCAGTTTGGCACTGGAATGACTGCTTTTTCCCAAGAATTACGTTTTTTTTTGGCGTAACAAACTCAGAACCGTAGAGAACTCAAAATTTTGGGTAAGAAAGATGTTTCTGGCTAAATTTAAGTGAATAAATATCCTATGAGGATCCCAATAATGAAGAATATGATGCATAGAGTGGTTAGGACTATTCCAAGAATAAAAAGATTTTGAGAGCTCTCATTGTGATATTCTTAACCAGCACCTCTCAATCTACTATTACATCTCATTTTGACTCGTGAAAAAGAAATTTTTTTTTCATGATACCTGAGGGGGCCCTCAGGCACAAAAATCATGAATATCGATTTTCGAGGAACAAAGTTGAAAAAAGTGATCAGAGACACTCGTACTTTCTTGAAGTCAGAAAACGCCCACGCTCATGAGCGTGAGCTGTACAACCCTAGTTATGACTCATGATCGAGATAAGCAGTGTGATGGTATGACAACAGAACGGAGAAAAAGACAATTCCCTTCACATAAAATCGAACCATGCACCTTCTGCTTACCAGGTAGACGTATTAACCACAGTACTACTAGAAAGGATATCTTCTATCTGTTTTACGGCCGTAGGTGAACATCACGGACGTAACAATCAGAATTTTGTAAGGTTTCTATCATGCATGTGGAATTCTTGAAAACAAATAGAAAGAAAAGTATTTGATCGGTCAATATCAAAAATAATTATCATGGTCAGTAGCAAATACTAAGACATAGGTCTACACATAGAATGGAATACTCCATCCCATATGATCAATCCTATCATATGCGAAGCTTTCAAACGCATCCTATCAGTTTAAATAGAGTAGACGACATTTGAAACTATCTAATTCGATTAACAATGAGCCATGCTAGCGAAAAAATAGGAAATGTACCATTTAAATTGTTCCATCATATTTTCAACCTATGATAAGAGAAAGAGTGTTGGATGTCTAAAGCGTAGACCACATCCACACTCAGAATGACTTATAGTGATACGATGCATATATGTTGAGAATTTCAAGTGGATCGAATACATTTTTCGGGAGAAATTGAATCATCCTAAAAACATCTTCCGTCCATTATCTTGTAACATTTCGTTTTATGTTTAACAATGATTCTATATTATATTACTTTATGGAAGGTGAATAAACTTGTAATAACATATAAATGAGTCAATCCTATTTGGTTTTTCTTTCTTCATCTTCACGTCACATATGAGCATATATCATTTTGATGAGTGACTCATTTTTACTTTTCTCTCGAAATAACACGCCACGTAATAAACATTGCACAATTTTATCACATTATTTTTCAAGGTTTAAAATGTCAATGCATTCTCTTACATACAGACACTTTGTTAATTATTTTACTATTCAACAAACGAGCAACTACTGAATCGATTTAAAAGTAATTTCAAAATATTTTAGAATTTATTAGTTTTATCTGCTCTAACCTCAATTTTAGTATATTGAATCAACATGACTATTGATAATGAATCAGCTAATATTGAAGTTCGATGTATCCCAGACAATCCATACGTCATATCTGGCGTCTTGAACACAAAAAAGGTTCGTTTCGAAATCGAAACAAAAGGCAAAGGAGAAACAATCAAACGAACACCACTCAATTTAGTACTTATTCTTGATCGTAGTGGATCGATGGAAGCTGATAACAAATTAACATTTGCCAAACAAGCAGTTGTTTCTGTTCTTAATCTTCTTCACGATGATGATATAGTTCATCTTGTTGCATATGATGCTGATGTATCCATCATTTTTGAAAATGCACGAGCATCTACTCGTCAATTTCTTTATTCTACTGTAGACAAAATTGAAACTGCTGGTTCAACAAACATGTCTGGTGCTATTGAAGTAGCTGCTAGTCTCCTCGAGAAATATGTTTATAATGGATATTCACGTCGTATGTTCCTCTTTTCTGATGGACAAGCTAATGTTGGAATGAAAACACGAGCTGAATTAACAAATCTTGTCGCTGGATATAATAATAAAGGCATTATAACTGATTCATTCGGTATTGGTGCTGATTTTGATACTGAAATTATGAAAGGTATTGCTGATGCTGGAGGATCAAGATTTGTATTTCTTGAATCAGCTCAAGTGATTGAATCATTAGTTACTAAAGTTCTTGTAAATGTCTTTGGTATATGTGGATCAGCAGCTCGTCTTATTGTACGTGGTAAAAATGGAGCTGTTGTTACAAAGATATGGGGTCATGAAAATATTGCTGCTGGTGCAAGTCTTGGTGAACTTTATTTCGATAATCGACGATCAGTTCTTTGTGAATTTACAACTTCTGGTACAGCAGTTGCTGGTGAAAATGAAATCGAAACACTTACATATGAATTACGATACACTCGACCAAATGATCCTACTGGTGAACCTACGGTGATTAAAAATACATTATCATTAAAACTTGTAGAAGATGAATCACTTGTTATGGAGATTGATCCTCGTGTAAAAATCATGTGTGCTACTCAAACGGCTGCTGATATGGATAAAAAAGTCGCTGAATTAGTGAAAGATGGCAAAAGAAAAGAAGCTATGGATCTTGTTACTGAAAAAATTGCATTACTTAAAGATGTTGAACAATTTGACGATGAAAGAGGAACCATTTCATTAATACTTCGACTAGCTGAAAATATGCACAATAAGTTTAAAGATGAAACCGTCGATAAGGAACTCATTTGTCGAGGATACGAACATCAAGCTTATTTATTAGAAGAGGATGATGATCAAGGGTTCGCTCTGTTCGCTTAACTAATAAAAAAAACATTTGAAAGCATTTTTTTTTCTAAGAATACAATGGAACAGCTTTATGGCATTATTTCTATTTTAGAATTAAAAACAAGATGCTCATATAAGAGCGTGTGGGTGTAGGTGGGATGAGTATGGATAGGTGTGTCTCCTGTTTATCTACGCCAATATCAACACCCACACTACAGACCCACATCTACATACCCACACCCTAGCATATCTCATAGAGAGAGTATATTCGTATCAGACACATTGGTATGTTGTATTAAACAAAAGTTCTCAGTGGAACATCCCGTACGTACCAAACAATCGTTTCATATTTATGAAAACTCACTCCTTGTTGTGGAAAAGTTTTCCAGAGCTATCTTTCCTGAAGATCCCAACGTGTATCTCTGTGTTATCTCTTATATATAAATTGTATGTGTCAGAATAAAAAAGTTCTCATAAGCCCCGGAGGATTGATAACAGTTCGCGCTCTCTTCTGAATCCGGGTAACTTTCACTGATTCCTTTGCAATAGTAAAAATAATCAAAAAGAACAAAGACTTTTGTCGTATTAAATATTCGCTATAAAATAATTATAAAAGTCTCTTTCATCAGCTTTGTCGAAGGAATAATTCGTTCTTTCAATTCGATCCAACAGCAAAAGAACTTAACAATACTGTTAGTACCCTACTGATTGAAACATAGCTAGGTTTCTTTTTGAATAGAATCCAAATAGATGATCATATCCATGCTAAGCTCATGTAATCATTGCAAGACTTTATTACTACATCAATTGCTTGTATAACCATCAAGACTATCCTGAAATAAACATTTTTCTCTGACATTAGAGTCCCGCATTTATATTTTACTCTAGCCTCAGATCCAGTGTCCACAAGTGCATGTTAAATATGGAAAAAACACTAGCTTTAGAAATTGGCAAGGCCTTGTTTGATGACAATGTCAGATTGATATGCAATGTGAGCGTGTACTGCATTAGACGTTTTTGATATTTGTATCGCAACCAAAACATTTTCTTGCAAGCCGAGGGTGTGGGTGTGAGTGGGTATGTGGGAGAAGAGATACACTTCCACACACCTACATTAACACCCACACCCAAACACCACACACATCCATACCCAGGATCCTGAAAGATTCTTCCAAGATTTGTCAAAGGATAAGCAGAATTGAGACTAGGGTTTGTCGCCATTTGCTTCACTATCTAAAAGTAACAGCAACCAGATAACGAAGTCAAATAAACACACAGAACTTGCAAAAAATAAGGACGAGATAATAATTCAGAACAGTGCTACGAGCAAACATGAGAAGTAAAAGAACATGCAAAAGAGCAATATAGGTATTCTTAACGAAAAGAAAAAGATGGATATCCTTATTTACCTATGAAACAAGGCTAGATAACGTA